ATTCGATCAGGGATGTGGAAGTGGGAGTATGCTCAAGCTGCTAGAAAACTGATGTGAGAACTCATGTGCCTGCAGCAGTGAACGGATAGGCAATGAGGGTGGAGGGAGAATACTAGAAGGTACATTAGAAAGGCAGAGAACATAGACATGAAAGACATAGAACATGTAGTGATTTAATACCACTAGTTTGTTCAGGGGTTTTTTTTGGTACCAGGATCGAAGAATACCATTAGTTTGTGAGACAGTGTGGGATGTGGCCCAGAGGGAAGCTTAAATCAGGGAGACCTAATAAAAGAATTTGAGTAGTCTAGGAAGAGGATGCTGAACCATGAATAGTATCTTTGCAAGTAAAATCAATAAGATTGTTAAAAACTGTTTTGTTCCAGAGATTTCCAGATTTACACAAAGAGAATAAAATAACGAGCACCCACTAACCCATAAGACTTCAGTAATTGTTAACACCTGGTTGTAAACATTTTGCTCCATCTGCTCCCCTGCTTACCTTTCTGCCTCCTTAAATCAATACTTACTTTAAAGCAAGTCCTTTATGTCCCCTCACCTAATGGCTTTCAGAGGCTATGCCCTAGTTATTTAGTGTGACAGTTACAGGCTGATGTCAGAGATTCAGAAGTAGGTTTGGCAAATAGATGAGTCAAGTTGGGTACATCTGATTAGAGATGCCCAGCCCAGCCATTTGGTTTGTGGTAGAAAGGAGGAAGTCGAGACTCAAGGTCTGAACTGGGGCACCCTCTCCCACCTTCATGTTAGTTGAAGGCATGGCACATGAGGAAGAGCGCCCAGGAAAAATTGAGCCCCAAGAGGGCAGACCCTGTAGGTGCTGGGCCTGCTTTCCCTTCCAGGATGCTTTAGTTTGCCCATGTGTTGGGGAAGTATTCAGAGGACTAAAACCCAGATAGCTGCTCTTTACTTATATGTAAATTTCAAGAATGGGTGCTTAATCTCATTTAGTGGCACATGGTCTGTACCTTTGGAGGACACTATAGAAAAGCCTTTCACAATTCAAAAACTGGGTCAGGGCAATGACTGAAAACATTGTTTCTGTATTGTTTTATAAGATAATAACACCAAAGAAAAAATATGGAAGAGATGATAGCTAGTGATTCTTCCTGATGCCACGATGTGCTGTTGCCTTTTACAGAGATAGACTTTCTGCTAGTGACATGCTCCAAGTACGAAAAGTAATGGAACATGTTTATGAGAAAATTATCAACTTAGATAATGAATCTCAAACCACTAGCTCTTCTAATAATGAAAAACCAGGAGAACAGGAAAAAGAAGAGGATATTGCTGTGTTGGCAGAAGAAAAAATTGAACTTTTGTGCCAGGACCAGGTGAGTAAACTTAAGAACCATACCCCCATTTTTTTCCAGTGCTGGTGCTCAGAAAGTTACATATGATGTGATTATAGATCCCAAATCTTTTACTTTTGAGCTGCTTCTTCTACCTATCTCTGCAGCCCTTTAGAGGAGTTTCACCTACCCTCAAGCTCCTGTTTACCTAGAGTTTTCGGAAAAGGGAAGCACTGGTTTAAAGACATAGAATTTCATGTGAATGGACTAGAGGTGGGTGGAGAAATGGAGACCTTTGGGAGAAGGGCTGAAAGACAGCCTGGTATTTCTGGCACCACCAGATGCTGCACGCCTCACTGTACCCAATTTCATGCCTGCGTCGTGGAAGCTGTGCCGGCAAGAGCAGACTACCAGGCATGAGGGAGGGATAAAGAAGCTAGATCACCTAGTAGAGTTCTTCAGTTAAGAATGAAGGTTTTAAATATCAAGAGACTTTTGAAAATGTTAATGTAATTTTGGCTTTTTAGGTTTTGGATCCAAATATGGACCTTCGAACTGTGAAACACTTCATATGGAAGAGTGGTGGTGACCTCACCCTTCATTACCGCCAGAAGTCCACTTGAAGGGTGGGCCAGTGCTCCTGGGTATTCATTTACTACCTTCCTCTGTGGCCCCAAGAATAGTCCTAGGAAGCCCACTGAGCCCAACAGGAGCAAAACTTCTACCAGTTTGGTATGGACTGAGATTCTCTCAGTTGAAGTGACTAACCAGTCGAGATGTAATATAGAAACCGACAGTCTTCAAGTGTAGGTTGAGCTGCCCAGGGGAAGCAGAGCGTGAAGGCAGAAGAGCCCCAGGCAGACTCTGTCCTGCAGCTGTACAGAGAATTGACTGCAGGCCAGTACAGACTTCTGCTTCCTCCTCTCCTTTCAAAGGACCTTATCTATGTCTGTTGGCACTTGTCAGAGAACATGGTTGACCACACCTGTCACTGTGTTTCAACTTCAAACCCACAGCTTTGTAGCTTTTCTAAAAGTACATTCCATTCACGCAGTATCTATGAAGGCTTTTTCCAAGTTTGTCATAAAAAAGTCAAGTTGTTTTCACTATTTAAGAGAATTATTTTTAATGGTAATTTGCTGTTGCACAATTTGAGAGCCAGCCCATTTCATAATAAATGATTACTGTTGGGCTTTTTAATATTGCATCTCAGATGTATCCTTGTAGGAAGCTCTGTGGAGATTCCAGGTGCTGGGTGACAGCATGCAAGACCTCCTGGGCTGGAGTGTGCAGTTTAGTGATGCTGAACCCCATGATGCCCTGGCTGTGTGTAGGTCCAGGGAGGTGCAGCCATTTACTCTCACAGGTAAAGCCTGCCAAGACAACAGCTTCTTGCTCTGGGTAAGCAATGTGACACCATCAAAACTTAACACCGTGATGAAAGTTTATTTTCATTCAAGTGCTACCTAAATTGTATGGTGTCAGAGTAAAGGGTTAGCATAGTGAGTTGATTTGATATTCCTATCTAGAAAGTATAGCTATTTGTTTTTCCAGAATTTTATATGCAAGTTTTTGTTGTTGTTACCTGTATTCAGATCTTCTCACTGTTCTAACAATCTGAAGCTTTCATAGATCACTTGGATCTTGTACAGAATATAACTTATTGGGGATAAACACTTCGACTTTTGGCAGAAAACACTTTGGATTCTTCCCAAGGTCATTTGTATTCAGAATAGAATAGTGGTCCAGTCCCGTAAAATTACAGAAGCAAACCTCCTTGCATGAAGCCAGAAGCACAAGTGCCTTCTGAGGGCAGGTATTCCAGTCCAGTCTCCCCAGCTTGTGTGTGGCCTGTCCTCACAGCCACAGGGACTGGGGAAGGTTTTTATTTCCTACAACTTCACAAGTTCAGTTAAGGGCAGCTGATGGGCCCAGGTCCGTACCTTACAATTCGAGATTCTCTGATCGGCACAACTGGAGAGACACTTCCCTCACTGCTGGTCAGCTAGCTTTGGAAAGTGACAGGTCATTGCCTCCTGCACCTTGAAGCAAGCAAGCAAAGACGGGCACATTTCCAAGGAGCTGAAATGGTCTTTCTCCCTTCCTCAGAGAGCAACCTTTTTTTTTTTTCAACAGTCCTTTGTATCTGTTGCATATGACAGTGCACTTTTGTGCATATTTTTTAGCAATAGTTGTGAATTAATGGCAAAAAAAATACTAAGAAAAAAATGTCATTTTAGCAGCCCCGAGCTGTGTTTGCACGAAGGAGCGGGTGTGCTGGGTCCTCTGCCATGTGTGCTGAGCCTTGGGTGGCTCTGTCCCTTCCTGTCACAGCTCTGACCCCAGCATGGTTGTACTTTTTCCCCTCCAGTCAAACCAATAATAGTTTCCAGAAAATATGACATTCTGCAATGCCAAAAGGGTAAAAATCTGTATTTCAGTTGTATAGAATAAAGAATTGTTAAAATATTTCAAAGTGTAGTATACTTTTTCACTTGTCATTTTCCTCCATAGATCACAGAAAAACCTCTGGTTTCACGTTCACCTGGGAATAATTAGCACAGATACCCATTTTACCCCCCATTATAAGGGAGAAGTAAAAGTAATGAGGAAGAACCATAACTGCCACCGAGGGTTAGCAGGGGGCAGACTGCTAGGCTGCAGGACTCAGGAAAGGTAGCCCCAGCAGTTCTGTGGGATCCACTCTGCTTCCTGCATACCAGTACTGGGCTCCCAACCCAGGACAGGAACCCCTCACTGTTCTGCAGCTGCTCTGGTAGGCTTGAGGGCTACCTTTTAGAGTCAGTGCTTGAAACCTAGTGTTGGCTAATTTGAGGCTTTGGGCACTCATAGTTTGGTCTGTACCTCCCAGGGTAGAGTCCTTGTTCTGCAGGCTTGATGGAGCCTGTGCATTCCCTCTGTGTATATTACAGATGGTGCCATAAGAGAGATCTCTCCTAGATGGACACTGGAATACAAGGCCAGGGTACTTTCTGGGTAACCAGCAAGAGGGCAGATATGGGGGAGGGTGCAGCTTGAGCAGAGGACTTTGGTTGATGGGCCATCCCAAGGCACTTGGGGATTGGGTTAACAACTTTCTCCATACTACGGAAAAGGGCAGCTGGACCCTTGCCCATGCTTGTCTGGGCCCCTAATTTGCTCCTGGGGTTGAGACTCTTGTGATGAAGCCGGTCAGGTGGTGGGCTGGTCCTTCAGAGTTTATTAGGGTAGTGAACTGAAATCTGTAACTGTTCTTCACTGATGTGGTTGGCTGGGGGCCTTGTATACTGAGAGGCAATTGTTTGTGTTTGGGAGCTGTGATGGTTGATTGGCTTGGCAACTCTACACCCTAGGATGGGGAAGACCCACCCTAGCCTCACTTGCTGCCTACGCATTAGGGGAAATGCTACTGTTTCTTGGAGAAACTCCAATTTTCACCTTCATCTTGGATATAATCTGGCTTCCAGTGCAGACCCCAGCTTCCAGCACAGACCTTTGGGTCTCCTGATGCTGGACTCATGAGCTCCAGACCCTGGATTGGATCCTTGGTCTCCAGTGTGTAGACAGATCCTCTGCATCCTTCCACATCTGACACTGGGTGGCCATTGTAACCCAATCTTGAAAAAAAATTTTTTTTTTTTGTACCGGTGATCGAACTCAGATCCTTGCACTTCCAAGGCAGGCGGCAAAACCACTGAGCTAAATCCCTGGCCCCAATCCTGAAATTCTTATATATATTTGTACATCTCCTGTTTACATCTGTTTCTCTTATAAATATTGACCGATACAGGAATCAACACTGGAGACACTGAGTGCTTATAGGCTGGAGGAGGACACAGTCACAGTGCTCCTCTATTGAAGGGCAAAGGTGGGCAAACAGCCTCTTTGGTGCTGGCTGGCATGAGCCTGCCTCAGCCAGCAGCCACACTAGCATAAGGACAAGGCCACTGATGGAGTCACTGATTGGGATATGGTAGGGCGAGTCCTAGGGCTTGGGGACCCTTCCAGTACAGATGGGACTGCGAGCTGTGCGGGAAAGGTCAAGGCCAGCCTTAACAAAGTGATACGGCCAACACTTGACACCAGCCCCTTCCTCGCTCGCCCCATTTTCACACTGATCATGACTGGACCTACTGTTTCCTGGGGAGCCCTAGTTACATGACAGGCACTGGTTCTGAGGGTATGTGGCTCCTGTTTCTACCCTCTCAGGCTGCATGTGCCTCTCCTATTCCCTCTTGCAAAATGAAGGTGGGTGCTTCTCCCAGCCCTACACCACCAAAGTCCTTTTTGAAACCCTCCAGCCCAGGACCGACAGGCAGGACAAAGACCATAAGGTCATCTCCTGGAGGCCAAAAGTAGGCTTTGAGTAGACACCAGAGCCCCTGCCAGCAGGAATCCTTGGATATCACAGAGCTAGTGAAATAAGCTCAGAAGCCTAGTCACAGTCCAGAGTATGATTCTGGGGTAGAGATCTGGGCCTGGCTGGTGGGCCCCTCAGCCACTGCCTTGACATCTGAGCTATCCATGTTCACAGGCTCCTCCTCAGTCTGAGCTTCCAGCAGCTCTGCAGACAGCCCGTCTTCTGGTGAGACTGCAGAGTTGAGGCTGTCGGGAAGACTCAGCTGAGGCAGGTGGTCTGGCTGGACGTGGGCTCCAGGGCTGTCTGGGAAAGAGACCTCAAACTCTGACCCAGACCATGTGGCTTCACCTGAAACACAAAGATTGGACTAAGGCGGCCTGCAGAATGTAGACTGACCCCGCCCACTGCTACTCAGGCTCTGATGGGAGAACAGAGCTCCTTGACATGGCCGAGCTCTGGCCCGGCAGAGGAACTGGTGCAGCCTTCTCAGCAGCCCAGGGTTCCTCCCAGAAGGCGCTGGTCACTCACCACCCCGCTCATGAGAGCTGCTGCTGGAGCCAACATCCTCTGGCCCTGAGGCCGAGACTGCTGTGGAAGAGGGCAGGCTGGGCCACACACTGGCATTGCCACTGTCCAGGAGGGAAATGCCCGACACATCTAGGAATCCTGGGGCAACACAAACCCCGACTGTTGGAAAGGCAGATCAGTGCACTCTCCCTGCCTGGTGCCTAGAGCATCTACCTGGCCAGCCTGCAAGACTGTAAGATCCCCAGCCTCTGGTGATGTCCTCCCATAATGTATGGTTTGTCTCTCCATGTCCCCCCAAAGCCTCAGGTGGTCACAGGCCTTTGCAGAGGTGGCTGCATCTAGTGTGTGAAGCTGAAATTGATTCATGAGGCAATGCTAGGCCCAAGAACACTTGGATTAATAAGGTTGAGTGCTACCTGCCCCGCGTAGTCTGAGTAAGATAAAAGGGTAAGAAGACCTGTTAAATTCCCTTGCTTTTGCTGTCTTCTGCCACCATGAACTGTTGCCCCTCTTCCACCCTGCCTTTGAGCCAGCTGATAATGAACTGGAACCTCTAGGAACCGTAAGCCAAGTAAACCTTTCCCTTTTTAACTTTGGGTGACAGCTATTTTGTCTCAGCAATAAGAGAAAATTAAGACAACTCCCCCAACCCCAAAGAGTTTCCCACTTCTGTTTCTGCAGAGAGACAGAGGCCTAAAGTTGGTCATCATGGGGCAGCACAGTGGCAGTGGGTCCAGAGCCTGTTTTGTTTCCATTCTGCTGTGTGACCTGAAGTAGGCCACCTCTCTTCTGTGGACTCCAAATTCTCCATCTATACTCTGGAATGATGATCTCTAACTGTCTTTTTCTGTTTGTTTTTGTTTGTTTTGAGACAGGGTCTCCCTATGTAATACGTACTGGCCTTGAACTCACTATGTAGCCCAGGCTGATCTCAAACTCACAGTGATCCTCCTGCCTCCGTTTCCCTAGGGCTGGGGTTACAGGTGTGCACCACCATGCCCAACCTGCACATGTCTTTGCTATATGTGAGATCTGAAGAATCAGCGGGACCAGGGAAAATTCTGGCACTGTTGCTAAAGTACATCTCTGAGCCTGGGGCCCACTGCAGCACCAAAAGCTGGGGGTTCCTCAACTGCCTCTCCAGGGCCTGCCCAGTACCTGGGTCCATGACTCGCTGCACTGGAGGTGGAGGCTGAAGAGGAATCTCTGGAAGTCCCCCAAAGTCTGGAGTGCTGTGGCTGGAACTCTCAGCCCCCGGGAGCTGTTCCTCTATGAAGGAACCAGGTACCTGTAGTAGAGCCTGGCAGCACCAGGGCAAACAGAATGGGAAAGGGCTGCTCTGGCCAGTGCTGTGAGCAGTCACAGTCCAACCTACCCAGCACCCACCACTGCCTTGAGCACTGCTCTGCCTCCTTGAAGGAAATGGTCATGGTACCCCACCCCTTCCTCCACAAGGGACATGCAGTCTGATCTGAGGGACCTGGCCGCCCGTGCGATGTTCACACAGAGGGAACACTTCACCAAAGTGCTGAGGAGCCCACCTCGCCCCAACACATGGCTGCTGCCTGTCAGTGTCCCACAAGGAGAGAGCCTGCCTTAAAGAGAACATCCCAGTGTGCCCTGGCACCAACGCCAGTGCCCAGAAGTGCTCTCAGGACCCACTCCTCAGCCATGATGGCAGGGACAGAATGCCCGGCAGACAGAACAGGCATCCCAGCATGCTAACCTGGCCCAGCTTTTCTGAATCCTCGGTAAGACACAGAGGAAGGCTCTGCCCAGCTTCAGTGTCAGCTCCCCACTCGTGAAGTGGAGACAATCACCAGTGCCTCACCGCCACCTGCACCTCTACAGCAAGGGGCAGGAGGACCAACAATGGCTTTCTGTGGCCCAAGCAGGGCCCTGTTCCTTCTGTTCACTGCAGTATGACTATGTGAAGCACAAGCAGAAGGACCCCTAATGAGGTTACTGGGATGCCCCAGGGACAGCCTTGAGTCTCCCCAGCTGTCAGGCCCCTGTGTCCATGTGAGGCTCCCCCTTCCTCTGGCTAACAGGTACCCCTACATACCTCCATGTAGTCACTCTGCCTGGAACCCATCTCCTGGCTAGGAAAGTCCTGGGGGGTGGGCACAGGTGATGGGACATCAGGTAGAGAGGCACCAGGTGGCAGGGCATCAGGCGGTGGGACATCAGGTGGCTTCTTGTGGGAACTGGAGGGCTGTGTTGGGATCCGATGCAGATACCCATAGCCAATACCACAGCCCAGACTGCCAAAGGCCAGAAACATTCACTCCAGGGTGTTGGCCACAGCCACAGCCCTCCCTGCCTTTACCACCCTCATGCTGGGCCAACAGTAAGGGGCTAAAAGGGCACCGCTAGACCTGTAAGCCTCAGAGTTCCTGGGCTCAAGGGCTAGGGCCCAGCCCTCTTACCTTGACCAGTGGACTCTGGAGGTCCATACCCACTGGACAGGCCCTACCCACCTAGCCCTGCAGCCCACCAACCCTGGGAAGTACCTGCCCTCTCCACCCCAGGCTGCGTTGGGAGTTACTGTCACCTCCCGGCAGGAGTCAGACTCGGAGTTATAAACCATCAGCTTCAAGGGCTTTCCCTCGTGAGACTCGATGAGCGAAAAGAAGTCTTCAGACTATGAGAAACACACGGGACCTGAGACTGCTTCCAGCACCAGACGGAAGCCTCAAAGTAAAGCGCCCATCTCTGCACACCCCATTCAAGGGGCCTGGACAGGGACAAGCCACAGGTTCCTCACCTCCTGGAGGATCTGGTCTGAGCCCACCACGTAGTCTGTGTAGGGGCATAAGCCGGCCAGGGCAGCTGGTGAAGATGGCTCCACATCCTGGGAAAAAATTGCAAACCATTAGCTTCACTACTGTGCAGTGAGTAGGACATCTGTCTGCTGTCCCTAACCAGGGCCTCAAGCCAACTCTTTGACCTCATCCCCAGGAACTACAGGTGCCCAGCAGAGGATAGCACCACGGCATGAAATGAACCCCGGGCTCAACTCCTGGCTCTACCACCTGTTGGCTGTGTGACTATGAATAAATTAAAGTACTGAACCTCTCTCACCCTGTTTCCCTACAATTAAAACTAGGTTTCATTGGGTTGCTAAGATTAAAGAAATACACGTTAAAAGAAAAGAGAAACCAAACGTTGGTCAGAGTAACTACCCAGCAGCACTGCTGCTCCTGCAGCAGAAATGTGGCTAAAGACTGAATGTGGCTGAGTGACAGTCAAGCAAGGGCAGTGAGCAACACTGGATATGAGGGCTGCTTTCTCCCTTGGAAAGGTTTCCCAGTCTCCTTGGGAAATGCAAAGAAATCTTAATCTTTAGCCCATGTCACTCATGGACAAGCTTTTGTAGTCCGGCTACAAAGGCTGGGAAACTGCCAGGCTCCCCAGGAAGCCAGTGATCTAGGGTAGAACGCAGCTAGCATCTGGCCCTGGGGACCCTCCTTCCATCAGGCCATAAGACTGAACATCTAAACACAGGTGCAGGTACATCTAGGACAGCTCGACCACTTGAATTTCATTATGTATCAGTTATATAACAGTATAAACTATACTGCAGGTATACACCTATATGGATAGACATGATAGGTAGGGGCAGTGTTCTGGTGGTACAGCCACCCTTTCGGTAAATAGCACCCCACCTTTCAAAATAAGAAACCAAGGTCTAGGGTAGTGGCTGGGAACCTACGGCACACATGCCACAGAGGACGGTTTGCATCACTGAAAGCTCTAAAAGGTTTGTCATCACTGATCCTAGAAGGTAAGAAAGTCACATGGCCACCAAGACCAGAGCCACAGCTGCCCTCAGGACAGTGGAGTGTCCTCTGACAGACCAGGGGTGCCAGCCTCTGCCGCGCCCCACCCACTCCATTCTAGCCGTTCTGCCAGGTGAGCCAGCCCCAGCTTCTCCCACACACGCCACCCCGTACTCACCAGCACATGCCACACGTGCTCGCTGGCCCTGCGGAAGCTGCAGAAACGCACACTGGCTCCCAGCAGGCCCTGGCCACCCCACATGTTGCTGGGTACCACCTCCACCTCGCGCACCTTCATGGTCTTCATGTTGAACACTTCCAGCTTCACAGGCCTCTCCACGTTGGCCTTCAGCAAGGCCTTCAGTGTGTCATTCTCCTTGTTCTGAAGGAGCAGCAGGGATGACTCCTAGGCCCCACCCTGAGCCCCAGGCCAATCCCCTCACACAGCTCAAGGCCTGACACAGACAATGGATAGGCCTGGGCTCATGGGGACCCCCACTTCCCAGTACCGCCAGGCACTACTACATCACCCCCCACAGCCAGCAAGAAAACACAACACAGCAAGCCAAGGGCCTCCCAGGTCGGGAGCACCCAGCATGTCCCTTGGCCGGAGCCTTCACACCCTCATGGCCCTGAGGCAGGCCCATGGGCCTTGTGGCCACCTCCTAGAGTCTGGGCAGGGATAGTACAGAAGGACACAAACGCTCAGCAAAGCAGAGGTGGGTGGCGGAGTCTCACCAGACGTGAGTGCCCGATGGTGATGATGAAGTCAAAGTAAGGCTCCAGGCCTGCCTGCTGCGCCGGGGAGTTCTCCTGCACCTGTCTCACAGCAAGGCCAGTCACCATACCAACCCCCTCCTCAAGAGGCCCCAACCACCTGAGAGGACACATGCCTGGCATGAACTGTGCCAGACACTGTCACAGTCCACCCCTTCCCATCTTTCAACCTTCTGGGGCACAAATGTTCCCTCAGGAAACTGGCTCTGCTCCTGATTATGACCCACATATGCTTCCTGAAAGGCCTCACAGCCCAGAGCTACCTTCATTAGCTACCAGGAGGCAGCAAGGAGCTAAGCTGGCACGGGAATGCTGCTGCCCCAGCCAGAAAGCCAGCAGTTACCAGAGAAGTTCAAGACACAGACAGGGAGAGCCCCAGCATGCAGGGGAAGTGGCAGGAGATATGCAGTCAGGGCTGTGCCTAGGAAGAGGAAGCAGGAAAGGTGGCCAGATCCTGGAGGACCCCCGGACCTGGGCTGGCTGACAGGGCTTACCACTGACACAGGCTGGTGAAGGGCATGAAGGTGAAGTCATGCCACAGGGGCACGACTGGGCCTAGGGAGCCTCCCTAGGGGCTCAGCTAAGCCATCAGTCTCACAGTCCTGTCCCCACGCCCCAAGGGACACCTCCTTAAAGCCATGCTCTGCCCCAGGATGCTCCTCACCCTCCTTACACTCTCCAGCTCAGTGCTGAATCCAGAAGTACAAGCAGGCTTTGCAGGCTGTGGCAGGAATCTGTCTCAAAGGCCCCATTTACCAAGCCTCACCCAGACACTACAGCCTTTGTCCCCAGGTCCTGGACCCTGAGGGTGGCCCACACTCTGGCCTTTGGCTGTGAACACAAGATGACCCCTTTGGACAGGCGCCAACAGGCCCCCAGGAGAGAGGACATTGAGCTCACATGGCCTCAGGTCCTTGTATCCCAAGCCCCTCCAGTGCAGAGTCTCCAAGCCGAAGAAGAGCTCTCCAGAGCCTGCTGAGAACAAACTGCTGAGCCTCTCGATAGAGGCCACTTTGCCCCTGGCATTGGGACTCCTATCTGGAAGTGTCACCAACTGAGTCCCTGCGTGCCACCCCCAGAAGCTTCCGTGGCTTCCAGGGGTAGTGGCCTCAGCAACCAACTCTGGCCCGACTCAGAGAGCAAGCTGCTCTCCCTGCTGCAGGGGAGCTCTGCATCCTCCAGGGCTCTTGAAAACTATAAAACAGAGCTGGCCTGGTGGGGTTTGAGGGATGCTCCTCCCTGAGCAGGGCTACTTCCAAAACCACTACCCCTCTCCCTCAGGCAAGACACCTGCTCCCATCCTCGACATGGGGTGTCAGCTGCCGCCATCATTAATGAGATCCTGAAGCTCAGCCCGGTCCCCAGGACCCACCCTCTCCCAGCACCTCTAGCTATGGCCCTGTCCTCTGGCTGTCTTCGATGGCCCTGGGCTTGTCACTGATCACTAGGGCTCCACAGCAGAAATAATCTCTGCTGCTGCACCCCTTCCTGCAAATCCCACTGCCCTCCATCCAGCTGTCCCTGGAGACTCCCATCACACTCCACCCTGTAGACCCACAACACGTGCTGCAATCCCGAATACCCCAGCCTACTTTTCCCCACCAGAGACCCTTCTGGGATGAACAACAGCAGCTCATGCACACTCAGCGCTGTCTGGGTGACTACCTTCTACTAACCCCAATTTACAGATGAGAAGAGACTCAATTTAGTAATCTGACCCCAGGAAACCCAACACATCCCTCCCCTTACCACTGCCCTATAACAGCCATTTTCTTGAGATCCTCCACTACGCGTTTGTTCAGGATGTGCCTGGCATGCAATGTTTACAGGATGCAGCGCATATGTCCTTCAGTTTTTAAAAATGTGAGTAGCTTATGTCACACCTCCACTTAAAACCTGCCAACGGCTCCCATCTCAGAATGAAACCCTAAATATTCAGGTCGTGCCAGGTCCTGCAGGGCCTCATCCTCTTACCCTCCCCTGACACTAGCAACACCATCCAAGCCCTACTACCTCACCTTCTTCATCTTCTCAAACAGCAAGCACCACCCATTCAGGGCCCCTGTAATGCTGGGCCTTCTGCCTAGAACATTTCTCCCTCATACCTGTGCTGTCCATTCTTCATTTCCTGCAGAGGCCTCTGTTCAAATGTTACTTGGTCAGAGGTCTTTCTTGACCACTGTGTCCAAAACGGCACCCATTCAGCACCTTTTCTCCCTTAATTTGCTCTTTTCTCACTAGCAATTATTACTACCTGTCATCTGTTTCTTTATGGTCTCCCTTCCCTCCTAACAGGCATCCAAATGTAAGCTCCAGGAGCACAGAGATGGTCTACTTGGTTCACTGCTTTATCTCTGGTGCCTACAACTCTGACTTTGCAGCAAGCAGTGGGCCCTTGACTTACAAACTCAATTCATTCTGGAGGGCTGGGTATAACTCAAGTTGGTTGCAAGTCGAGACTATTTTTCCCATAAGAAATAATGAAATACCCATAATGCATTCCAAACCTCCCAAAATATCCCTCACTAATCTTTCAATAATAAAAGAAGGGCTGTATAATGTATGTAATTGACCAGAAACACCAAAAATTTTCCTAGTGTACTCCGGCTATAATAAGTTGGTTGTATGTCAGGCCGATTGTAATTCGAGGGTCTACTCTACTTAAAAATAGCCCTATGAAGGATGACATTAATCCTTTGATCTCCCCAACCTGTCCCTCTCCACTGCCCTCCTGTCTCCACTACCATCGTGACACCCCGCCACCAGCCTGTATCTTAAATTGCTTTGCCCTCCATCAAACCTGTCGGCCAACTCTTTGGGCTGGATGAGAACTGTCGTCTCTGTGGGTGTCTGACCATGAGGAAGCCCGTACCCAAAGCACAAAGCCAGCTTGGCCTTCCGGTTTGAAACCCCTCGTTAGCTAACCCTCGTTAGCTTTCCAGACAGAGCCTCCCTTCAAAACAGGCCACTCAAAAGCCAAGCAGCAAAATGGCAAATGCGCCTACACCCACCTCTGCACCCCGCCGCTTTTCCCAAGCAAAAATGGGGAGGGAAGGCTCAGAGGCCCTCCTGTCCCCCTCATCCCAAATCTTCACCTGGCTGCTGGCCCCTCATCGCCTTTTCAGCCCAACCAGGAATCCCACCGTCGCCGGTGGCCCAAGCCTCCCTGCAGCCTCGCCCAGAGGCCCTGCTAAGCCGCCCTGCCGGGCGCCTGGGCAGTGAGCGCTGGGGAGCCTCCCGAGCTGCAGACCTCGCCGGGCTTCTGCGGTGCTCTGGGGCCTCCCGCGCCCCGCTTCCCTCGCTCGCTC